CAGGCAGACATAAGGAGTAGGGGAAGTATTCACTATTGTGCTACTCAGTCAATGTGGTGTTGGAGTGTGAGTGGATGTGTTCCGTGTAGGCGTAAAGAGTTCTATTATGGTTGAAGTGCTTCTATGAATGATTTCCAGGTTTCTATAAAAGCGTGTGTATTTTTCTGGCTTAATGCAGTTTGTTTTTCAAAAGAACTATATTCCCAGAGAAGGTTTTTCCATAATTTGGTGCTTAATGAGGATTTAGATTTCCAGTTGAGTAGAATAGTTTTCTTGGCTGTAATTAAAGAGATTAATAAAGGGTTTTTATAATTACTAGGGAGATCGATCTGTGTTGTGTCACCAAGCAAGCATAGAGATGGAGATAATGGGATCCTATGAATGTATGAACTGGTTGGCAAGTCCACATAGCATGGAAGTAATCATCTATACTACTACTGGGACACTGAGAGCAGATGTTGGTGTCAGCAAGGCCCATTTTGTACATTTTATGCTGAGTTATATGTGTTCTGTAAATAACTTTATACTGAATTAATTGGAGGTTTGTTTTGGTGGTAGATGAGAAAATGTTATTAAATATTTGTATCCAGAAGTTAGTGTGGGTAGAGATGTCTAAGTCGTTCTCCCACTTTGTTATTTGTACTGTTAATAAATCATCTGAGTTGGCCAAAAGTCGATAAAGTTTACTGATCAATCCTTTCGAATGACGTAGGTTAAGGATTTCGGTAGCTAATTTTGAGGGGTGAAGAGGGTTATTGCATATGTTAATCTTAGATTTGATAATAGCTTTTAATTGTTCGTAGTAAAGCAATTGTTGGCCTTCTAGTTCATATTTCTGGGTTAATTTGGAAAAGGTTAAGAGACGGTTATTGCTAAAAAGGTGGTGAAGATGGGTAATTCCTTTTTCATGCCATTTAGAAAAGTACAGAGTGCTGTTACCAGCTTTAAACTCAGGATTGTGCCAGATGTCATCTTCAATCGATTTTAGTAGTGGTTTGTAGTTGAGGTCAAACAGGTCTGTTAATCTTGGGGAAATACTGATACCCAAGTACTTAATATTACCAATATGAAATGGTAAGGAAAATTTGTGAGCTGATGGATCCCAAGCATTGCTTTGTAATGGAAGTATAGTTGATTTGCACCAGTTTATTGAATAATTAGATAGAGTAGAGAAGTTTTTAATTACAGTCAAAGTTTCTTGTAAAGAGAGTTGTGGGTTCTGTAGTTATAATTATATATCATCTGCACACAAGCTAATTTTATGTTCAGAGTTTATTGTTTGAATTCCTATGATTTTATCATTTTGTCGTATCTCAGCTGCAAGAGGTTCAATAAAGATGGCAAATAAAGATGGTGAAAGTGGACATCCTTGTCTAGTGTAAAGCTTTTTGAGGTCATTCCATTTGTGTTTATTGTAGCTTTGGGTGAGGTGTATAATATTTTAATCCAATGTATAAATGATTCCCCAAAGCCAAATTTCTGTAATGTGCTGAGTAAGAATAGCCAACTAACTCTGTCAAATGCCTTTTCAGCATCTAGTGACAAGATAGCAGTCTTGGAAGTCCGCTGTTGTGAAAGGCTGATTAAGTTAAATAGTCTTCTCATATTGTCAGATGAATGTCTATTCTTTATGAATCCTGTCTGATCCAGATGTATTAGCATTGGAGTTACTGTTTCTAGAGCTTTTGTGATGATTTTCAGGTCTCAATTGATTAGTGAAAGAGGGCGACAGCTAGAGGGGTTGGTTGGATCTTTGTTGGGTTTTAGAATTAATGATATTCCTGCTGTATTCATATATGTGGGGATTAATGAAGTATTCTTGATCTGTTACTACTCTATAAAATAATGGTGAAAGAATATCCCAAAAATGTTTGTAGAACTCCTGGTGGAAATCCATCAGGGCCGGGTGATTTGTTATTTGGTGCTTTTTTAAATTCATCTAGAGATAGCGAAGAATACATTGTATTTGATATTTCTCGGGATAGTGAGGGTAGAGCTATTTTTTCTAAAAAAAGAATGAAATTAATAATATTAAAGCACGGCTAGAAGAAATATTACATAAAAGAACCCAATTCTTAATTAAACAACTTAAGTATGAACATTTTGAATATAGTAACAAAATAAGCAGATAGCTGGCAAACCAATTACAGTTTAAAAAAGAGAAGGGCAAGAATTACGTCAATAATAGATTCAACAGGGAAAATAACACAAGATCCTTCTGAAATTAATGTTTTCAGAATTTTTTATGAAAAACTTTACACTTCTGATCTTAATCCCAATTTAATAGAAATTATAGTAACACAATAAAAAAAAATCTAAAAGGTGTATCTTCTGTTCTCCAAAAAGTTGCTGAATCTTCCCAAACCACTCCTTCGGGGCACCTCAGCCATTCCATGTATTTGTTACGTTTCAACTCCCTTAATTAATTAACTTAAGTTTAACTCGATGAGGTATTGATTAGCCAAACAAAGTATTGCCAGTGGTCAAGTAAAACAAAACACGGGATTTTGCTGCAAATACTGGGGTGATTTAGGAGAGGTTTTAAAAGGACTAAGTTGACACTTTGACAGACATCATGGTTTTACACAAAACTGAAAATCATTTAAACATTTAAGTGTTAATGTGGTGTGGATAAAAGTTTCCTCTGAGTTACCGAGTGTGAAAAATAGTATTAGAAACGATTTGGGCCAATGTGTCCGGTTCATTACATATTCCCTGTGTGAGCATCGTATATTGTCATGGTACTTGGAGCAAGCTTAATGAGGCAGCTGGTCACAGCAAGGTTCTGACCCGACCCAGATCCAGCAGCCACGGTCCACATAGCCTGCTTTCGATGGATGGTTGGTTCATAACTTGATCCTATTCACCGCGTTGGGTGATGGAGGAGATTTGTTGAGGGATTGTGGGGAGATGTCAGCAAACGGTGGAGATGTTAGGGTTGGTATAGCTGTTGGATGTGTATGTCCATGCGCTGTTGGTGTCCCCTTCACAGGTGCTGTCAAACGTGGACGAGCTGTTCGAGCGGGAAGAGCTTTCAGCTGCCCCCGACCCCGGCTGGCCGGACTGCTTCAACTCCGGCGTGTTCGTGTTCCGCCCGTCCAACGAGACCTACGGCAGAATCCTCCAGCTATGCTCAGAGAGTGGCAGCTTTGACGGCAGGTTACTTTCATACCCTGGATGTGGGGGGTTATGTGTGTGAGCCCGGAGATACCACAATGAGATAGCGGCCGCCGTAAATGTCCTCCTGCTCTTCTGGTTTGAGCTCCTCACCACTCAAAGTCATTGTCATGTCGCATGACGTCATCGCTTCCAACCCCTGGCACCAGGCTGGGATGGAACCTGTAGCTTTTCAAAATGGTCGCTTGGAGTCGTCTCACACGGCGGGTCACTTTACCTCTAGTCGTTTGCAAGAGTGCTCAGAGTAGCACTTCTAGTATTTCCATATCTGTGTACAAGACCAGCATTTTGTGCTTACACCCAAAGGAATCTGCGTCCTGTCACTTCTGGCAGTGTTTTTTTAGTTCCTGTTGTGCATTAGCAGTCAGTTTCTTCTGTGCATTTGACTGTCTGAGGTCCCCGTTGGCCGTTACATGCCCGACACATTGAGCTTAAGCACCCCCCCCCGCCCCCGAAGCTTGAATTTCATGCACACGGTTCCTCTATGATGGTGGCCCTTGCCCTTGTGTGTCCTCCCAGGGACCCTGTAGGCTTGCATATGCTTGCATGGCCCTGTAGCCACATACTAGCTTCTGGAGACCCATCAGTGTCCCCCGCTGGTGAATCGCTTTATTTACTCTCCATGTCCGGCACCCCCCACTGGCTAGCTGCAGTTACGCGCTCTCTCAGTGCATCAATGGGCATATTTTTTATGTTGACATTTAATTACACTTAACAAGATTCTACCACGTTCCATGACATTCCCAACGGATGTTCTACAATGCTATCTGCTGCCCCGGTATTGTGCTCTGACCCATGGAGTGCTATCCAAGAATAAAGATGGGGATTTGGAAGCAGTTCTTACTAAAAATAAGAAGTGTGCGATTCATTAAAAAATATGGATGAATGGGGTGGCATTTTTAAACGAGCTGTTGTTTGAAAAGCGCCAGGAATGATATTATTTGACGCCGGCTCTTAACAACACTGAGTTTTTCTCAACTTGTCGACTCAGTGCCGAAGCGCTTAATAATCCTTATGGTGCCCAGACTCCCTCCTTTCATTTCATCAGGCCGCTGAATTTTCAAAATTCTAGGTGAAACGGATGTGTTTTGTCACCAGTGGCTTTACGGGCAGGGTTACGTCAGCGCCTCTGTGGCAAACTGCTCTGCCTTAAATCACAAAGTCCTGAGATGTCACTGAAACAGGAGCCTGGGGAGGGCAAAGTTCGCCACCATGACCAGTATAGTGCCATAGTGTTTGGTCAACGGAGAACATGCAAGTGTAATACCGTACATTTCACAGATACCGCGATAGTCCTCAGCGTGGAAGGACCTTTTTATAAACGTCCTTGTGGTATTCAGCTGTAAGTCCTCCCTACTAAGCAAAATGTTTTGGTTTTTTTTACAAACATTTTTGCACTTTTGTGATTTTTGCATAGCTGACAGGATATGAAAAATTTGGTTTCCATAGCAACTACACAATGACATTTACAGCTTTGTCTGGAGGGCCCTTTAACATTTTTTTTTGGAGGGGGGGTCGTGGAGTTGTGAATCCCTGTTTACTCCCCTCATTTTCATGTTGGCATCCCGCTGCTTTGATGTATAACATCCGTGTACCGCAGCCTGAGCACATGAGGGTTCCACTGCTCCCCCTACTGGTGGTGAGTGAGAACTGCTTTCCAGACAGGACCCTGCTCCAGTGAGCCTGCAGACTGTGTTGTCATGCCTTTGCAATGCCCAGTTTGTACAATCTCAGCGCCTGTGGCTTGTGGTGTCGTTTTTCAGTCCCCATAGAGCCCCTCTCATTACTCTTCCTTTTATACCACAGAGGATGTACCATGCAAGAGTCGCAGGGTGTTTTTTTTTGTACTTTAAACAAATGCTGTCCTGGACTGGGTCATATTTGTATTTCTAAACCCAGGGGCAGTAAAAGCCGGGTCACCTCGTAGGGGCAAGACAGCCCTGACCTCGAAGCACGCCAGAAACCAGTATGGACAAAAGTTTGTTCCAGTTCCAGAACTGTCCAAAATCTGGACAGGATCGATTTTTAAATATTATTGTTTATTTGTAAGTCTGTGATTGGTTTAGCCCTCTCTGATCTATCTGATCTCTTACACCCCGATCTTTCCTCCCAGTCGCTTTGATGTTGCTACTCGAGCTGAGGTGTAGCTGAGAGGTGACCGTGGTTTAGCAATAGCTGCCGTAAGCTTTGGAATAAAACACCCCTTTGTATTAGGGCTGCAGCGACTTCGGTCACGTTTAAGTCCTGGTTGATAACTCATTTATTGTCCGTGGCTTTTTAAACTAGCGTGGGAGTGTTTTTGTTGTCAGTGTCATTCTATTTGTCTGATGCATTCGTCTATTTGTGGAAATTGTACAGCACTTTGGAGAACTGCTGTTGTTTTAAATGTACTCCATAAACAACATGAGCTTGACTCACCACTAAATTCAAAGCAGGAGTGTGGCCAGCTCCCCCCTCCCCCCCCCCTGCCGTGCAAACAAAGCTTTCCATTCATCACATAGCCACTCACTGATGCTTCTAGGTTACAGATAATCTTTTTCCTTTCCCGGAGAGGGGGAGGGGGTTGAATTTACTTATTTATGTGTGCGCTTGTTTGTTTCCATTGTGTCTCCATGACACGCTTCCCCTCTGACAGGTGGGGACCAGGGGGTCCTCAACACTTTCTTCAGCAGCTGGGCGACGGCAGACATCTCCAAGCATCTGCCCTTCATCTACAACCTCAGCAGCTCAGCCTTCTACTCGTACCTCCCAGCATTTAAGCAGTGAGCCCCCCCCCCCCCCCCCCCCCCAAAACCTTCTGTACACGGAGGAGGGCGAGTAAGCAGTTGCAAGGTCACATGAACGTGCCTTAATGCCATAATGTTGTCGGGTTACTGGAAATGCCGACGGTCTGCGTCACACGCGATGACTGCCCTCCCCACCCCCGCTGTTCTTAGACGACTGTCTCAGCTGTGTCCCGCACATGTACTAGTCACCAGAAATAGAGCTGTTCATTTATAGACTGTTACCCCGAGCAGAGTCAGTCGCTGGAGTTCATCAGTATCCAGAACTTCATGTAAATCACTGGTGGAGTCCAGCTGTTGGTTAATAAGTACCAGTAGTTCCCCTGTAGCTGATCATTCGTAATTGATGATTATTCTTAGGCCCAATCCCATTTCTCCTCCCTAAGCCCTACCACTACATTTCGAGGGCCCTCCCTTCCGAAGCTGACTTCACAGATCGTAGCCACAAGGGGTAGGGCTTGAAATCTTTACCTAGGAATCGGGACACCACTCGCTTACGTCATCAGCAGTCGACCATCGCACATAAGTTTCACACCTGCGACTCTGCATTTGTTTGTAACAATGCCGGCTCAAGGTATGGCGTTGTCGACTGCGTGCATTTTAATCATCATACTCCGTTTGATGAATACTCGCAGGAGACGTCTGCGACACTTGCTAACGCTTGTGGATTTTTATGAGACATCGTTTAAAAACGACTCGTTTGTGTCAGCTAGAGTGCCTGGCTAAAGTGTTACCTGTCGCTTTACCTGTGTCACAATGTTCATAAT